TGTAGAGAGAGGCTTCCAAATATCTTCGCTTCTTATCATATTGTGTTAGTCGTAGCTCGTTCTGTAAATTCGGCAACTGGGATGTTTGAATTTTCATTGTCCTGTTATTCAGCTGATTCATAGCCCCAACGCAGTTCATTGTAAACGTTCATTTTTCCTGACGGGCATCCTAGCGTTCGTGTAAAATTGTATTGTTAACTTTTAGTAAGATTTAAAAAAAAATGCTGCAGATTAAAAGAAATACTTTCAGGGCACAGTTTTGATGGAAACTGCTGACGAATTGTTGAAGTTCAGTGCTGGCGAAGAAGCGGAAGTGGAGAAGCTGATAAAAGCTTTGGCTGATAATGGCGTGAATGTTGTTGTATCAGCTGGAAAATTCGGTGACATTCATCTTCATTTCATGAACAAATACAAAATGATGGGTGTCCGGTTGGTTTCGAAATTCGATCTTCGTCGTTTATGCCGATCCACTGGAGCCCAGGCGCAGGCGCGTGTGGTGAGTCAGTTTCATCCGTGAAGTCATCATTATTTCAGGTTGTTATGTCATAATTTACATCAGAAGAAGGCGAGGGTTTCCTAAGCCACAGCCGTGTTTTGTAAGTTGATTGAACAAAATTTCTTTGTCAGGAGAAAGATTTGCTGAAAATTTAGTCGCGGGTTCCGAAATCCACTCAAAAAAAAAAACGCAAAAGTTAACTTCGGTGAAAGATGGAAAGAGGAAGTGTGGGGAGAGGGGAAGGTAGGGGAAAGCGAATTATCGTTGAAAGGACAAAAAATTCAGTGACGAGAGGTATTTAATGGAGGAGTATTAAGATATCCTGTGAACTGTCGGCGTCAAGAAACGAATAATAAGGTCCAAAAATACCGAATTGAACGCTAGAAACGTTCAAGAAAATGCCAAATTGCATCACATGAGATATTGGTGCGGCAAAGAGCATCACATAAGGCGGGAGGGGGGTAATTCTAAAATTCAGGTACATCATCTCGTTCTCCTTTTCTTCTTCGTCTTCTCCCATTGATTTTGGCCAAAAACATGAGTTATGGGACTGATGTCTTATTTACACAGCCAGAACTGGAGATTTTTGAAAATTTATTGCATTTGAAAGATGTAGACGCTTGAAACGGACTGAAAAAATACCCGCTAGGGGGGATACCGACAGCTTTTTTGTGTAACTGAACCAAATTTGGGTGCATTTGCAGTGCTGCCCACCCGCAACAGCTTATGGTGAATGCGATCGAGTGTATATCGAAGAGGTGGGCGGCAAAGAGCTGACGGTATTCGATAAGGCGAGCGAACGAGGCAATATTGCGACAATCGTGATCCGAGGATCGAGCCAATCACGCATGGACGATGTGGAAAGGGCCATCAACGATGCCGTTAATACTTATAAAGCGCTTACACGAGATTCTAACGTATGTTTTTCAAAAAAAATTAAAATGTACTAGGCTTGATGGAGGATTATTTGTTGCATGGAGCAAACTTAAGCTGGAAATTGCTTTGGTAAATTTTTGCGAAAAAAGATCAGCTCTGAAAGCAAAAGCCGATAACAACACTGAGTCAGGATCCATACACTAAATACCCTGGCAGTTTTGGTATTTTCTAATTTTTTCTTTTTTGATTAGAAAGATTTTGTTTTAAATTAGGAAGAAATGGACGTGTTAAAAGTAGAAATAATGGTAAAACAGTAAAAGAAATTTTACAAAAATATTTAAAAAGCGAATATAAGTTTTGTTTGCAAAACGCTTGTTTTTAAATTTTTTTTGTAATTACTTCCCCGCTTCGTATCGATATTTTTTGCCTCATCCAAGCCTTTGTTTTAGTTGCTTGCCGGAGCCGGAGCCGCCGAAATTGAGCTTGCGCGACAAATTGAATCGTTTGGCGAAAAATGGGCCGGTCTGGAGCAGTATTCCATTAAGAAATTTGCGCATGCGTTGGAAACGTTGCCGAAGCAAGTTGCTGAGAATGCTGGACTAGACGTACGTAACATTTTTTGTTCCTCTTTTTTTTTAGCGCAAGAAAATAATAATTTCTTGAGACGGTTACTTTACTCAGCTCGAGATGAATGGTAACTTTGAGTTGCATTTCTTGCCTCATTGATTCGACTGTCTTCTCACGTTTTTTTAATTTGAATTTCTCCCATCCGCACAACTTCGTTTAGACGTCCAAGTTGATCTTTTTATATGAATTATAGCCTCCATAGTGTTTGTAAAACATTTGTTTGCTTTGGATTGTCCACTTGTTTTAAAGACTACGATTCGGCCGGATCAGTGGCGCCTTAATTATTTTAGCAAACTTATCCCACCCTTTGTTTAAACTTTCTGACTCCGGCTGTTCCACATTTTGTTTTCTTTGGATCGTCCATTTGTTATTTTAAGATTACGATTAAACTTTTTAATTTGGCAGCAGCTTGTTATTGCATGAATCCTGTTCTTCAATAATCCGCTTTGTTTATCTGTTGTCTTTCATTCATCTGCACATGGCTGGGCCAATTCTTTCTACATGTGCATTGGTTCCACAAAGGGTCTTGCGCGCTGTACTTCTTGACTGCAATATTTCAGCCGACTGAGATTCTTTCGAAAATTTATGCGGCGCACCAGGAAGGCCAGCAGAATGCAGGAATCGATATTTTGAATGGTGGAATACTGGATGCAGTGGAGGCGGATATTTATGATTTATACAGCGGCAAAAGATCAGCTATCAAGCTAGGCGCAGATGCTGCAGTGACTATCCTGAAAGTTGATCAGGTGCATTTTTTATTTCATTTGTTTTTCTTAATTATAATTAGTAGGCAGCTTTTTTATTTTGTGAGGAATGAATTTTTTTTTATTTCAATTCCAGTTATTTTTTTCTTCAGATAATCATGTCGAAGCAAGCGAAAGGTCCGGCTCCACGAGCACCAAAAGCAGCTGATGAAGCGGATGAAGATTAAGCCACAGTTATTCACCGGTCTTGGGACGAGAGCATCTGAACTTGATATTGAGATTTGGATCTCCAGCACCCTGTTTCTTTATGCTAGCTACTTCTGATCCGGGCAAAATATACCATTATAATATTCAATTCCTTTGTTTTCCCACATTAACGATTACTTATCTGGCCAAAATAACGCAAATGAGAGCATTTTGGCCCAAAAAAGGGCCATTTAATTTGAACTTTTCCCATGCCTTTCTCTTTGTTGGGAGGGGAAACCGAATTTATGCTAATTATCAATCGGCTTATAATACCTTTGTTGCTTTATTTGTTCCTGTTCTTTTTTTGTTATTGCTATAAAAGGTTCTTCATACTGGCAATTTATGAATTAACGCATGTCGTCGTAAATTACTTTTGTTTTTTGGATGATTTTGTTATAGGATTTTGCTGGGTTTAATACTGTGCTTGATGGCGTAATGCAATAGTAAGTGGTGTTATTCGCATGCTAGGGGTAAAATTGGTTCCACTCCGCTACTGGAACATCCAGTTTCTCTACGATTCGTACATTCGTTTCGATGGTAAATTGGTACTGGCATTTGCTAAGGAGCTAGGCTAACGAGATTAGCTTACTTTTAAGTAAGCTAATCTCATTTAAATAAGCTAATCTCGTTTTGTGTGGAGTAATTTTTTAAGTTCTTATTTGAATAAATATCCCCCTACACTGGAATTTTCCTCAAACCATTGAGTGGCATTCATGGGGAAGACGGGAAGGAGGGAAAGGGGGCGGGGAGTGGGAACAAAGCACGGAAAAAGAGGCCATCGGTCGAAGGCGCTGGCTGCTGTACATAAAGAATTGTCGGCACAGAGATATGCCAGATTTCTTGCTGCTGATATAGGGGGTTCATCAGCGAAGATTTTATCAACGGTTTCATGATTTTAAGGTGCGATAATGAGCCAAATTCGGGTCATTGTACATGTGTGCGCAAAATACAACAAGAGCGAGTAGGGCTTCCCTCTCATGCCGAAGTTTCGAAGTTCCACACCATACCCGGTGGATCAGCCAATCCCTCTACGATTAATTTCAGTGGTAGATTAAAGTGGTACTGGATGATTCTAGATTGATGCTGGATTCGTAAAAATTCCCTCTTTGACGAGTTGTCGAAGCCAGTGGTTTGATGATTGTGTAAGATGCGATAGCGAGCCTTAAATTCAGCTCATTATGCGACAAATTTTTAACTTTTAAAGTTTGGAATTTCAAGTTTTTTAAAATAAATTTTGAAAGATTTTTTAAATTTGAAATAGTAAACAATCTGAGCAAAAATTTCAAATTTCCAATCGATGAGACTTTCGTCGAAAACTTTAAATTTCGTCGAACTTTCATCTCATCGATTTGGTCTGTTGGTTTGCCTCTTGTCTTGCTAGTATCGGGCATTTTCTTTTTTTTCGAGAATGGGGTAGGGCGGAAGCGGACAGGGCTAGCGCGACTCCTGCTATATGTTTTCTTATTATCACGAGGATTGAAGAGAAGAGGGAGTAAGCTTGTGATAGTTTCAAATTTCAAGCTTTCCTCAGCAAAAGTGAAGCTAAGGCTTCGACTGTGGCATCTCCCGAAAAACAGCTTAGTGCAAAAACGCACTCGTCTGTTTCGTACGCATTACTAAAGTGTGTACAGAGTGCTTCCTAATTCGGGAATTTTGCAGTTCCAGCAGTTCAACGTGATGTCTACGAAGCCGCCATACAAAGTTGGTAAGTGCTGCTATTGAAATTTTAAAAGTTAGGAAAAACAAAGAATTTTGAGCAACTTTTTATCTTTTAGTAAAAATCTAAGGAAAAAATTTTTTGAAATTTTGAACTGATTAAAACATGCATAGGAAAAACATGGTTAGTTATAATTTTGAAAACTATAAGAGCGTAGTGTCAAATAGCACTTTTCTCATGTTAAAAGGACGGGGTTCGAAATTCTATTGGAACAGCCAATCTCTCTGCAATTCGTTCATTCGTCGCGATGGTAAAGTGGTACTGGCAAAATGCCCAGGGACCCGAAATCTCCATCAGCTGGCTCTCAAAGTGACAGTCTCGAACCGAAGTGGCGCAAATGAGGATTCCAGTAACTTAATCAACATAAGAGATATGTGATTGTCCATGCATTTTGGTATTTTTCGGGTTCCACCCAAACGTAGATCCGTAAGAATTATCTGTGATGTGAAATCTTTCTGCTTTTCGCAAATCGCTTGAGTTTAAGGGAGATATTCGTGCTTCAGCTTAGCTTTGGTCGTCCCAAGGAAGTTTTGTTTTCTCTTGCGAACTGCCCTACATTATGTTTTATAATTTTTAGCGGATATAAATCTGGCTGATTTCGGCCGCAAAGAGATAATAATGGCCGAAAATGAGATGCCCGGTTTGATGGCAATGCGAGCCAAGTATGGG